TTTTTATTTTTGATTTGCTCCATGCCTCCTCAAAAATTGACTACGTCCTTGTGGGGCGCGCCCCATTGTTTTAAAACCACTGATCTATCGCCAAAATATTTTTTTATATATTCTACTTTGTCAACCTACATTCACCAACGTCTAGTATATTTTCACGAGGGAAAGTATTCGCTCAATTTCTATTTTTCTTTTCTTGATCAAATATTTGTTACCGTTGGAAAAATTATTGCAACCACGAACAGGATTTCTGGTGTTTTCAATAGAAGGCCAGAATTGTAAACAGGGTGATCACAACATATTACAAGTTGTTTTTCAAAAATTAGAAAACCGCAGAGAATGAATACAATTCCTCAGTGAATATTATTCAAATGACAAATTGTCGCATGCGAAATAACGTGATTGCAAATCGCTAACATTAAAACTTTAATCAGATTGACACTCTGACTTCCAACTCTTTATATCAAGTTAACAATATATGACTTGCATTAATTAAGCAACCTGTTATTTCATTCTACTGAGAATTGGCAATGCGCAGGCACCTTTTAAAAGTTTTTCGTATAACAGTACTGAATGCACCCGAATGTATATTTTTAATTTTGTGAAGGAGAAAGCCGCAACAGAAAACATAATAATTTAGCCTATGGAATACCTCCACTTGTGAATCATTTTTAGCTCTCATTGTTCCCCTCTATTGATAATATTGAGATATTTATTTTCTTTGAAATGGGATTCGTGCAATACTGCAACGTGGGGTAAAAAATGAGTGGAGTTAAATGTCATGCAAACGAATGAACCGAATCCCCGAAGTCTGGTAACGTTACGTGCTCAACAAAAAATATTTTCATAAACCTTTTTTTATAGACCTTTCGTGACTAGAAAAAACAGTTTCAATGTTGGGAAATCCCCTTTTCTGATACTAGGATTTCATAATTCACCATGTCACAGGAGAGCTGAAATGGGCAAACTACGGCCCGCGGGCCAAATCCGACCTGATGGCTAATTCGATCTGGCCCGCCTGATGCTGCCACAAGTAAACTAAAATCAAATTTTGATGTTTTAGATAAAAATAAAAAATAAAAGGAATTTGATGGGTATGCGAATAAAATTAGTTTTGGCACGAGACTTATTGTTTTCCATTTTTGCTTTTGTAACACTGTGAATATTGGTAATAAAATGTAACTTAAATCGCCCGCCAGTCTGGATGTGGTAGAATTTTTTTATCCCCTGGGTAAAAAACCTTGCTCACCCGGCCCGCTCAAAAACGACAAAATAAAACGAGTTGAATTCACTGATCATTTAAAAAAATGATTAAACAATGTTCGAGCGAAACAAAATAAAATTTGAACAGATGCATTTAAAGTATCTACGTATTTTGCTTGTAATAGGCACAATATAGAAATATACTAATAACAGGTTTAGTAAAATATAGTTAAGACCGACCCTTAAAAAACAAGGGCTTGATTATCTCAATGCTCTCCCGGGTTTAGAACGGGCCAACCATAAAGGTGGATTTCCGAAGCTCGTTTAATTAAGGGTGTGGCATGGGTGTGGTTTGAGTTTGTTCCATTCGTACTCTTGATCACCCGGAGTCAATGGAGCGTGTCTCGCCAGAAAAATTATCTCCGTGGTTATGTAGATGCTGCCATTTAATGCATCACTGATTTGGTACACATACTACGTTCCGGGTTCCGCCATCTTGGTTCACATACTACATGAGTACAAATATTTTTATTTTTGATTTGCTCCATGCCTCCTCAAAAATTGACTACGTCCTTGTGGGGCGCGCCCATTGTTTTAAAACCACTGATCTATCGCCAAAATCTTCATTTATATATATTCTACTTTGTCAACCTACATTCACCAACGTCTATTATATTTTCACAAGTTAATGTATTTGCTCAATTTCTATTTTTTTTTTCTCAGTCAAATATTTGTTATCTTTGGAAAAATTATTGCAACCACGAACAGGATTTCTTGTGTTTTCAATAAAAGACCAGAGTTGTAAACAGGGTGATCACAACATATTACAAGTTGTTTTTCAAAAATTAGAAAACCGCAGAGAATGAATACAATTCCTCAGTGAATATTATTCAAATGACAAATTGTTGCATGCGAAATAACGTGATTGCAAATCGCTAACATTAAAACTTTAATCAGATTGACACTCTGACTTCCAACTCTTTATATCAAGTTAACAATATATGACTTGCATTAATTAAGCAACCTGTTATTTCATTCTACTGAGAATTGGCAATGCGCAGGCACCTTTTAAAAGGTTTTCGTATAACAGTACTGAATGCACCCGAATGTATATTTTTAATTTTGTGAAGGAGAAAGCCGCAACAGAAAACATAATAATTTAGCCTCTGGAATACCTCCACTTGTGAATCATTTTTAGCTCTCATTGTTCCCCTCTATTGATAATATTGAGATATTTATTTTCTTTGAAATGGGATTTGTGCAATACTGCAACGTGGGGTAAAAAATGAGTGGAGTTAAATGTCATACAAACGAATGAACCGAATCCCCGAAGTCTGGTAACGTTACGTGCTCAGCAACGAATATTTTCATAAACCTTTTTTTATAGACCTTTCGTGACTAGAAAAAACAGTTTCAATGTTGGGAAATCCCCTTTTCTGATACTAGGATTTCATAATTTACCATGTCACATGAGAGCTGAAATGGGCAAACTATGGCCCGCGGGCCAAATACGACCCGATGGATAATTCGATCTGGCCCGCCTGATGCTGCCACAACCAAACTAAAACCAAATTTTGATGTTTTAGATAAAAATAAAAATGAAGGAATTTAATGGGTATGCGAATAAAATTAGTTTTGGTACGAGACTTATTGTTTTCCATTTTTTCTTTTGTAACACTGTGAATATTGTTAATAAAATGTAACTTAAATCGCCCGCCAGTCTATGTGTGACAAACATTTTTGGCCCCTGGGTAAAAAACCTTGCTCACCCCTTCATTAGAGCCTTGTTTGAAAGAAAGAACACGGCTAGAGCGCATAAAAGCGTTTCTAAAGATTTCCTGATTTCTCATAGAGTTTTTTTTTTTCTTATTGAACACCAGGCCCGCTCAAAAACGATAATATAAGACGAGTTGAATTTACTGATCATTTTAAAAAATGATTAAACAGTGTTCGAGCAAAACAAAATAAAATTGAACAGATGAAAACAACGTATATCTGCATTTAAAGTATCTTTCGCGTATTCTGCTTGTAATAGGCACAATATAGAAATATACTAATAACAGGTTTAGTAAAATATAGTTAAGGCCGACCCTTAAAAAACAAGGGCTTGATTATCTCAATGCTCTCCCGGGTTTAGAACGGGCCAACCATAAAGGTGGATTTCCAAAGCTCGTTTAATTAAGGGTGTGGCATGGGTGTGGTTTGAGTTTGTTCCATTCGTACTCTTGATCACCCGGAGTCAATGGAGCGTGTCTCGTCAGAAAAATTATCTCCGTGGTTATGTAGATTCTGCCATTTTACGCGTCACTGATTTGGTACACATACTACGTTCCGGGTTCCGCCATCTTGGTTCACATACTACATGAGTACAATTATTGTTATTTTTGATTAGCTCCATGCCTACTCAAAAATTGACTACGTCCTTGTGGAGCGCGCCTCATTGTTTGAAAACCACTGATCTGTCGCCAAAATCTTCATTTATATATATTCTACTTTGTCAACCTACATTCGCCAACGTCTATTATATTTTCACGAGGGAAAGTATTCGCTAAATTTCTATTTTTCTTTTTTCAGTCAAATATTTGTTATTTGTGAAAAAATTTTTGCAACCACGAACAGGATTTCTTGTGTTTTCAATAGAAGGGACAGAATTGTAAACATGGTCACTACAACATATTACAAGTTGTTTTTCAAAAATTAGAAAACCGCATGAAGAAAGCATGAATACAATTCCTCTGTAATTAATATTTAAATGACAAATTGTCACATGCGAAATATCATGATTGCAAATCGCAAACGTTAAAACTTTTATCAGATTGACACTCTGACTTCCAACTCTTTATATCAAGATAATAACAGCATATGGCTTTGCATTTAAGCAACCTGGTCTTTCAATTTACTGGGAATTCGCAACTGTGATCGTCAAAACATGCGTAGGCAGCTTTTAAAAGTTGAATTAACTTTGAACAGTATTGAATGCTTCCGAATGCCTATTTTGAATTTCATTAAGAAGAAAGCCGCAACAGAAAACATACTAATTTAGCCTCTGGAATATATCCACTTGTGAATTATTTTTAGCTCTCATTGTTCCCCTCTATTAATAATATTGAGATATTTATTTTCTTTGGAATGGGATTCGTGCAATACTGCACCGTGGGGTAATAAAGGAGTGGAGATAATGTCATGCAAACGAATGAACCGAATCCCCGAAGTCTGGTAACGTTACGTGCTCAACAAAAAATATTTTCATAAACCTTTTTTTATAGACCTTTCGTGACTAGAAAAATAGTTTCAATGTTGGGAAATCCCCTTATCTGATACTAGGATTTCATAATTCACCATGTCACATGAGAGCTGAAATGGGCAAACTACGGCCCGCGGGCCAAATCCGGCCTGATGGCTAATTCGATCTGGCCCGCCTGATGCTGCCACAACTAAACTAAAATCAAATTTTGATGTTTTAGATAAATAAAAAAAAAAGGAAACTGATGGGTATGCAAATGAAATTAGTTTTGGCACGAGACTTATTGTTTTCCATTTTTGCTTTTGTAACACTGTGAATATTGTTAATAAAATGCAACTTTTTACGTCACACTTACATCGCCCGCCAATCTAGGTGGTAAAAATTTTTGGCCCCTGGTTGAAAAACCTTGCCCAGCCCAGCATTAGAGCCTTGTTTGGAAGAAAGAACACGGCTAGTGCGCATACAAAAGAATTTCCAAAGATATGCCTATTTCTCTCAAGTTTTTTCTCTTTTTATTGAACACCTGGTCGGCTCAAAAATGATAAAATAATACAAGTTGGATTTACTGATCATTTTAAAAATTGATTAAACAATGTTTACAGCAAAACAAAACAAAATTGAACAGATGAAAACGACGTATATTCGCATTTTTAAAGTATTTTTCACGTATTTCATTTATAATAGGCACAATATAGAAATATACTAATAATAAATTCAGTAAAACATAGTTGAGTCCGACCCTTGAAAAAGAAGAGCTTGATTATCTCAATGCGGGTTTCCAAAGCTTGTTTAATTAAGGGCGTGGCATGGGTGTGGTTTAAATTTGTTTCATTCGTACTCTCGACCACCCGGAGTCAATGGAGCGTGTCCGGTCGGAAAAACATATCCGTGGTTATGTAGGATTCTGCAATTTTACGCAATACTGATTTACCCAAAATAGTAAGTCAATGAAGCGTGGCCGGTCGGAATAATCACCTCAATGGTGATGTAGATTCTGCCTTATAACGCATCACTGATTTTTTCTTCGAATCGGGAGTCAATGAAGCGTGACTGGTCAGATAATCATATCAATGTTGACGTAATTGCTGCTTGTTTACGCGTGATTGATTTCTACAGCAGTAGGAGTGAATAAAGCGTGGCTAGTCATAATAATATCATATTAGCGATGGAAGGCACTGCTATTATAGCACACACCGATGCCCGGAGTCAGTGACCAGTATATATTTTGAACACACATGACAGGACATAAATTAGCAAATATTTGTCGTCCATTATACAAGTCCATGCACCAGGAGCGATTTGTTGGTTAAATATTTTCATACCTCGCCCGGGACCGGTAACCAGACAAGATGCCGTGGTTCGACAAATGATTGATTAATTTTATCAAAAACAATCAGTATAAGCCGAAGATTACAACAGTCTGTACAATAGCATTTGACCTTTTAAACATTGATAAAAGTATTTGCGAGAAATCTCGTCTAAATTCAGTATTTTCCATGTCAATGACTTGACCGGTACTTGGCCTCCTCGGCGCTTTTCTTCTTTACAGAAATTTATTAACGAAGGTTCGAGATCTTGGTTAGGAAAGAAAGAACGACCAAATCTGGCATCGGTTGACGCATCTGTTGCAATGATGAGCGATGAACCGGTGATGTACTGAAATATAAATTGTCATTAATATAAGGGAATCATTTAAATAGGGTGCAGTTGCCTTAGCTTCAAGAATTATGGAGCATAACGTTACCCAGCTTTTCATTTTAGGGGGTGTTCCCAATTTTAGAGGGTGATTTGTAAGTTCTAAAAAGTGTTTACATGTCTTTAACTTGAAATCTTCGCCGGAATATGAGCCACTTTGTAAATATTCAAATACAATAATATAAGAATATTCAAATACAGTTTTATTTACGTTTTGATTTAAAGTATGGTGTCACACCCGAAAATTAAGAATGCGTTTGATTTTTTTTTGGAGGAGGGGGGGGGGTCACCCCCTACAGGGGGAAATCACGGTTGTGAAGCGTTTATTTCGCTAGCGTAAAAACCAGAGTCAAAGTATTTCAATTCTGACTCCAGCGCTGAACTTAAATAAATTAGAAATTCAAAAACAAAACTTTTCGTATGCAAGCCTTTAATAGTCTGTTATGAACGATTTGAGAAATGATTTTTTTTCTATTTATAGTCTTTTTGTGCTATTTTATCAATCAACTACGTCACCGTTTCGACAATTTTGACAGTGTCAAATTTCAGGGTGGAGGCATTGTTGAACCGATATTGAAAAAATTTTAATAGTGTAAATATTTAAAATAAAATTCATATATATATATATATATATATATATATATATATATATATATATATATATATAGTTGTGAGAAATTTAACAAAAAAAGCAGATTGGCCACGCAAAATGCTTTCGCGAGTCACATAATTTTTTTATCTGTGTACAAGGCTATAGTGCCCATTCTGAAATAGAAAATCACAATAGTCTGCCGCATACTCACCATCTCTTGTAAATCTTCTTGCACAATAACCACAGAATCTCTGTCCACATCTTGGGAGGGCTTCAACACCGTTGATTAAAAATATTTCTCCGATGACGAGCACCATAAATATCACAGATATTAATCGTATATTTGTCATATTTGTCAATTTTTAAATAATATCTAAAAAAAGTAAAGCTTGTTATTGTCCAACAAAATATTTACCACTGTAACATTACGCTTTTCTTTAAAAACACGTATTTGTGTGATAAATTTATATGATATATAACCAGAAGTTAAGTAATAGTAGTCCTTCTCACAACTTAAATTCTTCTAAACCATGTGAAATAAACTGGTAATTATTAAAAGTTTCTTAACACATCTCTGAACGATGTCATGCACAAGCAGTCACTCTGGGCGTAGAATGGCAAGACCTATCTTGGACAACATGGTTGTTGAGTTGGTTTCAAAAACAGATCTGACCAAAGCCCTGGACGTGCAGAATATGGACTTATACTGATATGACACGATGAGAAAAACGGCGTGTTGGACTGATCAGGATTCAACGCTATACCTTTTACCTGCAATGATAACATACTTAGTCCAATACGATACCATTAGGCCATGGTGGTCCAATCCACTTCTAATTCCATTTTTCCTGAACATGAAAATACCGGAAGAATACAGGTAAGTCAAATGAAGTAAAATAGCGTATTAAACGGGATGGGATATGAATTCGCGACCTTTGACCTATGCTTCTAATATTATAAATAGACCAATACAACAAAAGTCAGGCGACCAACTTTCAATTATGGCATTATGGCGTCCTATTGACTTCTAATCTTTTGCCAAACCAAGCAGCAGGACTTAGTTATCGTTGAAATACTAATCATCACATGAGTCACGTACTATATATTCGTCGATCAAAGATCAACTTTCAAAATTAATCAACTAAGAAACAACGTTCTAGTGATCACGTATTAGCCTAATAAATAAACCATCAACGATATATAGTTCTTCACCTCTTTCTTCCGGTCAAGTGTGATATCAAGCGGTTCACATAGCGAGTCACAATTAATGAAAAGGAAGTCAGCGCAGCACTCATGTATTTTAAAATGTGGCGTTCTTTTCTTCTCAAATTTCACATTTTTGCATTAGTGGGGAGTTTACAAAAGATCCGAAAATTCCTCACCCCTTTTCGTGGTTTTATTTTTAGGGTCTCCTGTATATAATAATGTGTATAACAAGCATGAGCCTACCCTAATATGCCCCTGGAAATATCGACACGCGCCATTATTAGTTTTTACTGAAATTGCTCTCAAGGGGTGAAAGTTTAAATACGAAGAATCAGCCACAGACTTTGATGAATTAAAGGAGATACGCACTACCGTGCTGATAACAGTGTAATACGTGACGTTACTCTTGTATGTACTCGTGTACGTTTCACATTGTCGAGGTTTGTAAGGTCGCGACCGTAATATGTATATTAGGTATTAGGTTATCATTATTGACATTTTTAAACCTTAGAGCAAATATAGGAAGTTAAACTAGGAAAAAACTAAATTTAAGATCTAGCGTTATGATTGCTATCGGGTGAATTCAAATTGAAGATCATGTCATACAGTGGCTCAGTCAGGTGCTTCGCCGATTCACTCCTTTATTTGTTTTTAGCATCTCGCCACCGATGAATGTATATTAATTTTCAACGGATTTACAATTGTCTACGGGTTCGACCCCGATATGAACTTTGTACTGTTGCGATATGTGAAATAACTTTCAGGGTGACCTGAGAACTCTTTTATACATAAGTTGACACTTGGTGGTGGTATTGGGCCATACCGTAATACTGATTCGCGTCGCCATCTTACATTTTGCCTTTATTCTAATTAAGTGCATTCCAAATGCTAGATCCTAGTCCTATTTAATAGAATTATAAATTAGTCCACAGTACACGTCAAATAATTCTGATACGCAACTTTTCCCTGTACTCGATTATTAAGTAAGATCGTATTGCAGATTATCCTTAAAAAACAGCATTCATACAGGTTAGGGTTAAGGCATAATTTTCTTCTGATTTTCTTTATTTTAGTTCTATTACGAGTTCAGAGACTGTCTGTGTTAGCCAAGTGACAAACCCCTTGCCCATAGGTTTCAGTCCATTTACACAGTTTGATGCAAAGTAAGCGAACAAAATTAGTTACCTCCATATTGGTACACACACTTCTGGAGTGCCATTACAGTACATACAAATTGAGTTGGGTTCCATTACATTTGAACCCACGTACATTTGAACCCATGACAATTGCACCTGTATGCTATTGCACCTATGGAATTTTTTTTGTTTCACGGATAGTTAAACCCATACTAACCCTAACCCATGGGTTTTAGCACCCGCATATAGATTGAACCCGTGGATATACGCATGGGTTCAAATGTACATGGGTTCAAATGTACGGTCACCATTGAGTTGACATAGTTTAGAATACCATATAAGTATTCTGAAATTGTTTTCCGCCAGAAAAACAAATGACTATCTATCGTATGTATATCAGTATGAAACTCGATGAATAAATATTCGAGACAGCTTACTATTAACAGTATTATTGATTTAATGTTATGTCGCAACCACTAATGAGAGGGACGCCAATAAATGTTTCCTCGTACTGTTTACTCTTCATATATTAGGGAACACCTATTTCTGCGCGGGAAAGTCAATAAGCCACATACCAAACCGATAGTTGCTCAATATTTGAGTTTGTGGAAACTGAAAGAGGGTCTAAGAAAAGATGAAACGAGAATGGTTCGATCACATATAAGACCACGGCTTTCGTGCGATGCGGCACATCAGTTTACGTACTGATACGTTACAGAATAAATAGTGAATGAAAACTTACACTGTCGGAATCGAATATTCGAATACACGCGGAGTTCGTTGATGTATTTATCAAAAATTGATGAAAACAATGATTACCTACATTTTTTTTTATTGACTAGCCAAATCAAATTTTCATAATTTACAATGCTTTGTGGTAATTCTTAAAAAAATCACCCAATTCAATATTCATAAATTGTATTCGAAAATGTATTAGTAACATGTTTAACTTTAACTTAGCCCATTAAAAAAAAATCTAGCAAAAACGTGCAGAAATCGTCAAAAACCACCAAAACCTTGCGATAACGTGCAAAATCAAGAGATTGTGACAAATCCTCGATAGCGCACACCGATGAAACAATTGAGGTTTTTATTTATTTTTTCCATGAAAATTAAGCTCGTGTAACCTGCTTTGTCGTGAAAATCTAATCGAGAACAATATAATCTTGCTTTAATCAATACTACATCTCCTATCTCATACTCGGTAAGTTACGAGTCCTTATCCTAGCATATGGATGTCAGGCATAGAATATTCTAATACACGTTTCTTCTATGAATTTGTATGATACATTATAAACTGAGATATGCCCGATTGCGTGAAAAACCTAAAACATCACAACAGTTGCACTTGAGCACTGACCATGTGGCTTGTCTCGAGGAATTAGCTAGAATTTGGGATCGCAAACTGAAGGTTTTATCATCATTTTCAATCATACACGGAATCAATTTTTCATAGAAAATCTTATATTTGACGGGTTGGCATACAGAGTCCTAATTTTGTCATACTCTTACTTTCAGTAAAGTAAAATTTAAGTAAATGACAACAACTTTTAAGCAGAGCTCGAGAAAGACCCAAAACATCGCAACCATTGCATACAAGCAGATATTTCATTAACAGAATAAACCAGACATTCAACTTCCTGTGTACGACGGATGCGTACAGGCGGCATTCGCAAAACAAACAATGTTCTGCAATGTTTTGCAACTAAAACCGCAGGTCATTGCCGTGAAAATATGTGTGTGGTATGAAAATAAATTGCGTATTGATTTAAGTCAAAAAAGGTCGACGTAAATTCATCAAAACGACAAAAACAAGTCGATTTATCTTTCAAATCAGGATAAAACGAGCAAAACTCGTTATTCTGGGAATTTTTGTATTCATCGAATGACCCGAGTCATTCCGCGTGACCCGTGCATGACATATTACTGAATCAATTTGTAAAATATCATCTACTTAAGATCATACTCGATTGACAGCAAATTTGTATTTACGCGCGGCGCGATAAGAATAATTCTGAAGCTTTTAGTTCCATAAATATCTAAACGTAAGTTAAAAATATTTACACTCAAAATACCACAAGTCTCGCTATTTAGAATTTACAAGGGAATTATCAGTTTTTAATCAGAAAAGTAAGCGAAAATTTTTCACTGTGCGGGAAAGCCACGAAACGTGTACAATTAATGTTTTTGAAAAGCGTAAGACAACCCTTCATTATTTTCGATAAAATTTCAAAGTCGAATATCGTAAAATACCTTGTTTGGACTGTAGAGTGTAATGATTTAGTCCTGTGGATAAAACGCTGTACTTATCTATGTCGGATTCACAGATTAAAAATCTCATCCCAAGCGCCACCACATTGTGTTCATAATACTTTATGAATTTACCTATGAATTTTCTGGTTGCAGACAGATAGTTTTATTTGGAACGCCGGACTTAACAAACACAATTAAAAATGGAGAATTCTGGAAAGCGCATAAAACCACTCATCAGCACACATGAGGATTAATCTGAAAACACAGACTTGGAAAAATCAGTTTATTTAAAATGTGCAAAAGCGGGTGTGCGATTTGCGAATAACACTAGTTGAGGGATTCATTATTAAAGGTTGAAAGTTGTTTTTACGCATAGTGAAGAAAGAAAAAAGAATTCCGAAATACGCAAAGGCATGAATTTAACGAAAAGGTTGGAACCACTGGTCTGCACACAAACTCTTTATTTATATTCTGACCCAGAGCGTATAATATTCAGTACTCATGAAGTATGCGTGCCAAGATGGCGGACATCGGAACGTAGTATGTGTACCATGTTGGGTTAGGCCATAATTTTATTCGAATTTTCCTTATTTTAGTTATATTCGGGGACTAGCCAAGTTACTCCCGTAGTATTTGTACCTAAAATTATGGCCTAACCCTAACCTGGTACACATACGACGTTCCGGTGTCCGCCATCTTCGTACGCATACTTCAGGAATACCTAATATCCAGCTTTACGAAAAACCAAACAACATAACAATTCGTAGCATGCAATGCAACA